TGGCTTTCCTCTTCCTTCTTGTCAGCTGGCTTGTCTGACTGCGACGCTGCTTTCCTCCTTTGCAAAGGAACAGGAGACAGGACACACAGTCAGCCCCTCTAGAAACACATCCTCCATGCAGGAAGGCTGATTCAGGCTCTGGTGGGAGTTATTATTTACTTAGCTCATCCTAGGGAAGGCGACAAAGGCTGGATGTGCTCAGTCGCGTAGGATTGGAGTGGAGGGGAGGAATCCAGACCTTGGTGAGACGACTCAGGGAGAGGGGCAATATTATGAGGCGGTGTTTAACAGAGGAACGCAGGGTGCAGAGCATAAGGAAATGTGTCAAAGCGGAGGAAGGAAGCGCAGCTGGCTATGAAACTGAGTGAAAAAGGGATGGTTGCTCTCTAGGGCTCAGGAAGCGGTGGCTCCCGTGTCCTACACAGGAGGAACAACCCAAATCACCACCGGGGTTTCTAAGGACCAACCCAGCTCTCCACAGGTGGATCAGGTGGGTATTGCAGTGATGACATTATGTTCTCAGCCAGCTCCAATATCATTTGGCCACCTGTCCTATGTCCCCTCATCTCCATACCTTCCCAGAGTAAAGGCTGTAGCAGTCCTCCCATGTGCTGGGAAGAGCCACCTGTCCTATGTCCCCTCATCCCCGTACCTTCCCAGAGAAAAGGCTGTAGCAGTCCTTCCATGTGCTAGGAAGACAGTCAGAAAGGCCCTTCAACCCAGGTCCACCCTCACCAGGAAAGAGAGAGCATCATTTCTGCTCAGCCAAGACCCCTGCTCCCTCCAGGGTGGGAGAGCTCTGGCTGAAGGCCAGGAGTTAGGAAACATGAGTGCACCAGCCTGGGTTTTCAAGTCACTTTAGTGGGTGACAGGAGATTACTGCTGTCTTAAATCCAATTCAGAGGCAACAGAGCTCCTGAGCCTTTCTTTTCCAGGACCAGCAGGTGGTGTTGGCATCTGCAGAAGTTGAGTGACGACCTGAGACCCTCACTCTGCCCTGCTTCCTGAGGAGAGGCTAAACTCCCTGAGGAGCAAGTGGCAAAGAGCTGCAATTCACACCTTGGAAGAATTGGATATGACAGGGAACAAAGATGTCGGTTGTTTCTCTTTGAAGAATTCATGGTAAAACTTAATGGGTGTTAAGCCACACTAGTTGAAGAAAAAAACACCAATTCTTGATTTTCAAGTCCTATGCAGGGTCTAAACAGCACTTAAAGTGTGCCACTGATTCTCTAGCCATCCAATTTCCCATTTTAGACAATTAGGGGTTCTGCAGCTCTAGTCTCTAGATGAATTGTGGTTGTTCTGATCCTTATCCTCATCCTGCAAACCCTACCCTTAGCAGATTTTTTTTTAAACACCAGTATGACAGGTTTTTCATTTACTCTTGATTCTAAGATGGACAAAATTAATCTCACCAAAAAAAATTAAAATCCCAAGAATTGTGGTTGTTCTGATCCTTATCCTCATCCACCTGCGAACGCTACCCTTAGCAGATTTTTTTTTTAAACACCAATATGACAGGTTTTTCATTTACTCTTGATGCTAAGATGGACAAAATTAATGTCATCAAAAAAATTTAAAGCCCCAAGTGGCACTTAGACAGGCTTCTGAGTTTCAAAACACTACCAGAAGTCTGTCAGAAGATTTTTTTTCATATCATTGGCAAAAGAAAAGCCTCAATGGATTCAGAAATTGGAGGATTTGGTGTAATTCGACAAAAAAAAAACAAGAGGCACTTAGACAGGCTTCTGAGTTTCAAAACACTACCAGAAGTCTGTCAGAAGATTTTTTTTCATATCATTGGCAAAAGAAAAGCCTCAATGGATTCAGAAATTGGAGGATTTGATGTAAATTCGACAAAAAAACCAGAGTAAAACACATGCATGTGCTTGTAGGACACAGTGCTCTGTAGGAATTTTTTCCAGATACTCAACTGCATTAATAATTTTATTATATCAGTAATATTTTTATAGTCTTTCTACAATATTTAGATGATATTTCTGAGGAAAAATATTATAATGGTTATGCACCTGAGCCAGGGAAATATTTGCCAGAAATATAACCAGTGTTAGATTTATATCCTGCAAGAAGCTTAACTGGACTAGAAACGATAGTGGTTTGTGAGATAGTTCATTATTCTGCTTGCGCTTCAGTCCTGAAGCAAAGGGCTGCTCTCACGGGGGCCACTAAATCTAGAGAGCCATATTTTATACCATCTGAGCTCTCAGAAGCGTTTTCCTCCGTTACTTCCCCAGCATTAGACTCATTCCCCGTTTCTGAGCATGTGGTTTTCTGCTCAGAAAAGGGCCCCTGAGATCCCACGCTCATCACTCAGTTATTTCTGTATTGAACATGCTCAGTTTAAAAAACATCTTTTTTACCTCCTGGCTGCCAGCTCAGTAAAAGCAACCTGAAACATAGGTCCAGGTTCTTTCCTTTCTCATTTCTGTATTGAACATGCTCAGTTTAAAAACATCTTTTTTTACCTCCTGGCTGCCAGCTCGGTAAAAGCAACCTGAAACACAGGGACCAGGTTCTTTCCCTTCTTGCTGTTATCACACATAAAGGGGTTTTGCAGCCAAAAGGAGTCCCCTCATGGTCAGTGTAACGGCGTGTACCCAGCGTGCACCCTCGCCTGACACTTGTGTACTTCCAATGACTTTCATGGCTTTGTCAAGCAAAATTTAGGAGACAATTCTGTTGCTGTCAGCTCCCTGGGAAAGGATTTGCAGCTCAGTTATTTTCAGAGTAGAGGCAGCACAAGGCTCTTGGCAGTGCAGATGCTTTTGTTAAGACAGCGAAGGGATATGAATACCTGAAGACACCCAGATCCCACTGCCGAAATCCCTACTGGAATATACTTTAGACTAGAACCACAGAAATTTGTAGGATTTTTATATCCAAGTACCTGAGATGTCCATTTAGCTTGCTTGCTTGAACAGAACCAGTTACCCCAGCATCTAGTCACTGAACCTTACTTTGCTTACAGACATCTACCAGTTCAGCAAGGTCAGTCTTGAGATGCAGCAGCACAAAACAGATCAGAAGGTAAACCAGTAAATGACTATTTAAAGCTATTAAACTATTTTAATTCTGAAAAGAGAGAAGATGATCTATTTGGTATTTTACACTGCTGGTAACTTTTTATAGTGTTGTGTATTTATTTAATGCTTTCTCAAGGATTACACCCATCGTCCATGTTCAGAATTCTTTCTGAAATGACAAGGACATGGAAGGAAGTTGGAATCAAACCCTCTGAACTGAGAATTGTTTTTATACTAGACAACATTATTTAAAAACTTCACTTCTGTACCCGATGCAACTGTGCCTACTCTTCCTTTTATTCGTCATCCTTTTTTTTTCACTATTCATAATTTTAAAAGGAATTTAGGGCTAAAACCAAAACATCTAACACTAGGAACTTGGGAGTTACAGTCTAAGAGAACATTACTGGTGGAATCAGGGGAAAAAGAGAAAGAGAAAATAATTGGAATTAATGAATGCCTTTTAACAGCTGGTATATTACAACTTGCTCAAGTGGAGAATAACTTGGCTAGACTGCCTGAAACACACTGAGAATCGATAATAATCTACTTGCCAAGATACTGTCCTTTTATTGCACTTCTGTTTATATTTTTGGGCCCAACATCCTGAATGTGCTGCTTGAAGAATGATTTCCCTAAGCTCCTTTCATAGGTGCTCTCCTTCTCTCTTTCCAAAGACAGTAACTTTGAAATAGATCTGGTAAAATGGCAAAACCGCAGTGGATATATTTTGTCATCATCTTTGAAGGTTGCCACACTGCAGGATTTGCTACAGCAGCTAAACTCTGCCAGGTACCATTGCTGCAACATCCACATTTCATAGTAAAGGCCAGATGATGCCGGCAACCAACACCTATGCAAAGAAGCACCAAAACGACCCACTGCTAACCCAAAATGACAGCCAACCTGTTCTACAGTTTGCAGCAGAGCTCATACTAGCGCTTAATGAAGTTTAAGTACAAACCTTTTTGCCAGTAATTTATTCATTTCTTCCATTAGTCCTCCTCCGCCTCCTCCGCTACTTGTCCGATTGGCATCGCTCTTAGAGACCCCACTGGGGCTGGACCCTCCTGAACCATCTTCTGGCTTAAGACAGAAATCAACATCAGAATTAACGAGAAGAGTTTCATTTACAGCCACACCCTTAATGATTAGTTTTCCTAATTATTAGGAACAGCGATCACAATTGCAGCCTCAAAATCAGAGATAGGACGTGTTCCGCTTTGGGAAGAAGATCCACATGGATCTGACTAAACCCAGGACAGTCTGGGTGAGGCAAATGATGAAAACACCCACAGCGCTGCTTGTTCAGGGTTAGGTTTACGCACGGATAAGCTGCCCTTACCTAAGTGGACCCCTATTGACATGAGCCCTCAACAGTCCACACTGTTTTCTGTAAGCGTGGTACAGTTTTAACCACTTATAATGACTGAAAACACCCACAGACAGTACAACGGTGGACTTTGCAGAAGCCATGAAATCCTGGCAACGCCAGAACTTGCAGCCATTTGTTCATTAATATTTTCCGAAGAGCGGAAACTCTACTAAGCATTTCCTGCTCAGCTTTCTTTGCTACAAACTCACACTTCAAAGTTCCCCTAACGCTCAGCTGAAGCATGTGTCACCATGTTTCATGGTGACCATTACACCAAGCTGCACCAGGCTTTCCCTCAGCAGAGAAGAGCCCACTGGGGGAGTCCCAGTGCCACCTCCTTACCCGTTGGACTCTCCTTAGTTTGGCACCAGCCAGAGCCGCTGCGAGCCCTGACACTGACCCATCTTCAGTGCCAGCCCCTTGGCCAGCGCCTGCCGGCAGCGGGGGCGGCGGGGGGGGCGCAGCTCCCATGGGTGGTGGAGGGACTGGGGGGGGTGGCGGAGGTGGGGGCCCCCCGGACGAAGCAGGGATCACGGCAGCGCCACTGGGATGACCAGGTGGAAGCACTGGGCCTGAAATGCAGAGAAGGCGAGTTAGAAGGGAAAGCCGTGGTCTCCTCCAGCCCCTCCATGGGTCTGACTCCCCATGGAGTCACCATCTCTCACCTGACTGCGAGATGGGTGAGCAATGCATGGAGGCACCAAGCACGCAGAAGAATGGGAAAGGGTCGTCACATCACTGGTCAACCCTTATGTCCTCCTGTGAAACCCCATCACTGATAAACTAGCCTTCTCCCTCCTCTTCTCCCTGGCTGGCCTAGTGTTTTATTCTGTGCCGAAATCACAACACAGGCAACACTTCCCAATTCGTAACTGGCATCTTCTGCTTCTCTCAGCTTTCTACACGGAGACAACAAACTATATCAGGCAGCTCCATTTGGTTATCTTTCTTCACGGAGACAACTAACTACATCAGCCAACTCCATTTGGTTATCTTTCTTCATGGAGACAACTAACCACATCAGCCAACTCCACAGAATTATGGGCTACAGGGACACATCCTCCTTTCTGTTGCACAGAAAGCACGAGGCCTCAGCTGGTCTTTGCAAAGTATTGGTGGGGAGAGTCCAGCTCCAAGCACCCCAGGGTTCAGAGAAGCTCCTCAAAGCAGCAGTCTGTTGGAGGGGCTGGTGGTGGGTAACTCCGACGCAGTGTTTTGCCTGTCAGCAAGGGGTCAGTTAAACAAATAGACCTCCCCAAGAGTATTCCCCCAATTTACACTCTCTCAGAACAGGCTGCTCCTAATGCATAATCACAGGTTCAGCTGTTCAGCAAGTGTTATTTTGAAAGACAGGCAGATTTGGACCGAGGAGCATTTGGAAACTGTATTTAACATTAGCAGCCTGGTTTTCTTCTTATCTAGGTTTTCTTACAATACTGCCTTATTTCTGTGGTTACTTCTACCATTATTTCACACTCCCAATTCCATTCTTGAAATGAACCATAGCTGCTATTAGAAATACTTTAAATGTTTCAAGCCCTCTTTGGTTCACAAACATAATAGCTAGTAATTCATTGTGGGTACAGTTAATTGTAATTGCAAAACTACACCCACCTAATTAGAGGCCAGCCTGAGGCAAAAATTGAACTGAGTCAAAATAATGGACTGATGTGAGTTTAAAATAACTTTATTGAACTAAGTGGATTTCAAGGACTTATATCAGCTGAAGGACTGAGCCTCCGGTGGTTGCTGTAATATTTTTAGCAGAAAGTGAAAGGAAATGTCTCTCAGTTTTCTTCCTTTCCTAGGCACATCATTTAAGCATTATATGTGGTTATAAACAGGAATGGATCCAAGTCACAAAACGTATGATCTGAATTGCAAATAGGCATTGCTCGTAACTGTTCTAACTCCGCAGGCTTTAGACGAGCACTAGAAATCAAGACCATATGCAAAGTGGCAGACCCAAGCTCTTGATGTGCCTGCAATGAAAAAGGTTTGCTGGAATAGTTACAGTGACAAGCCCTCAACTATAAATGCAGTTTATACCAGGAAGAGAGTTTCTAGAATGAAATCAATTATGTGAGCATAGGGGATTCTGGGTAACTATAACAAAAATCATGATATATCTTTTGCTGGTAGCAGAAATACCACTTAAAAATAAAATAAAAATCACAGCCTCTACCAATAGTGCTACACAGACAAGAAGTCTACTCAGACCTAGCCTCCAGCTTCAGAAGAGTCCATCCGCTACGTTTGGACCAGCTGAAAATAGGTTTTGTACAAAGCTCTCTGCCAAACCCAACTTGACTCTGCTGAATGATAAAAATCTCCTTCTGGGCTAACGCAGTACAAATATGCATTGCAACAACTCAGCTACGGCCCCCTGGTCCTGTAATTCTTGCTTTTAGCCTTGCATTTAGCTCAGAAGGTCCCTGAGCCAGTCCTGAGTGACTTTGACACTTTTTCACCTCAGTTTCAGAAATCACATACAGAAGGAGTAGCCTTGGGTTTCTCAGCTCTTCTTCTAGAGGTCACGGGCAGTGCCAACGGGCCCTTTTGAATAGCTGCTTTATACAGGTCGCAACTCATTCAAAAATCAGTACTTACTCAAGTGGGCAGTGGCTGATGAAGTCATGTAAGGAGGGTTCCTCCTGGGCATAGCCACCTCAGACATAGCAGCATATGGGGGAGGCAATGGAAGACAGTGTGACATGGGCTGATAGCTCTGCTGTGGAGGACGAGATGATGGATGGGAGGATGGGGAGGGAGCCTGGCCAAAGGAGCTGGGTGGGCTGGCGATGGTGGGCAGCAGGGAGGAGGGTGCAGCTCCTAGGTGTGGAAAGAAGGACCCATCCATGCTTTTCACCTGGGCCCCAAAGGGGCCTAAAGCAATTTGTTCTTCAGGATGCCCATTTGCAGGTACACCTGCCAAGGTCTCCTGGTCTGCTTTATCTGTGGGTCCCTTGAGCCTGTCAGGTGGGACAGGAATCACGGGCAGGATGGTGGGACTGCGTGGCTGCAGGGTGTCACCCCTCTGCAGAGGTGGTGCATTGGCAGTGGGGGAAGCAGAAGACCGAAGAGAGCATGAAAGAGAAGAGCGCCTGAGAGGCTGGCGAGAGGCAAAGGGAAGGTGGGAAGGATGGGGAGGTGGTGGAGACAGCGAGGTTCTCCTGATGCCTGGCGTTACGGTCCTGCGGTTTGGGCAGGCTGGAGAGGAGGAACCCGGGGCCATCGGCAGCTCAGAGGCTGAATGCCTGTGCAGGAGCTGTGGGGGCTCCCTGGATCTCCGTGGGGATCTGGGAGAGGACTGACTGGTGGGCTCGGGGACAGCGGGTGATGAAGAGCCAGCGCTGGCATGAGGAGGTGGGGAGGGAGGACCCCAGTTACTGCAGGCGGGAGGAGGAGGCTGAGAGGAGGGGGAGCACACGCTTATCTGAAGGGTGGAAACTAAAAGAACAGAAAAGACAAATGAAAAGAATAAGATGGGTACGTGGCAAGGAACGAAACCAAGGCAAAGCAGAACAGAGAAAAAGGAACCACAAAGTGAACGCGAACAGAAACTCAAACAAAGCAAAGAGGGGATGGTGCAGGCACCGGCTTGGGGGTTTCCAACCCTCAGCAGGACCAGGGGGACTGTGTGGAGCAGGACCCTGGTGGCACCGGCAGGCTGCTCTGGTGCTAGTGAGGTTCCTCCAAACCCTGTGTGAATCAGGTCATGATCATCACCCCTTGCACCTGGGGCAACTGCAAGTGACATTCTGGATACAGTGGTGGCCACCTCATAGCCAGGGAAGGGATGGTCAGAAGCCCCTGGAAGCCACATCCTGCTCCTTGTGGCTGCCGAGGCAGGATTTTGGCTATCTTCCCTATGCAGAATAGCACACAGTAACCTCTGCTGAAACAGAGTCCAGCAACTTCTGCCGCTGGCTAAGGTAGGTGTGCGTGTCTGAGCTGTTTTCAAGTCAAAAAACCTAAAAAGTTTTAACAGCTGAGGAAAAATATTTGACTTATGTGGCCAGATTCACTGAAAAGACTTCCCCAAAACAAAATCCCAAACACAAGATGGCCATCTTGGCTTGCTTGCTTCTGCCTTCTTTCAGAGAGGCAAAGCCACGCTTTGTAGTTATAAGCTATTCCTGTCGTCTCTTCTCTCAGCTTAGTGCAACTTAATATGCTATAGAAGATTTTTGTAAGCTCATTAAATATATATATTTTTTCCATTAAGCTCACAGAAGACTCCTTACTTCATGACCGCAAAATCCCCACCGATGAGCATCTAGAGCTATATTTTCCTCTGTGCTGCAGTTTGCTTTGTGCTGCAGAGCGATGGGGTGGGCCTGACCTGGCACATCCAGCACGTCCACCCCTTCGTGCTGGCATCCCCTGGAAACATGGAGTCACTCTAGGGGTGGCCGTGCTACCTGCTGCCCTCGTGGGTCTGGAAGAAGTCTGGCCGGGCCCCCTTGGTACACCTAAAATCCCCCCTAGCTGTACAAGGGCTGCCCTCGTGGGTCTGGAAGAAGTCTGGCTGGGCCCCCTTGGTACGCCTAAAATCCCCCCCAGCTGTACAAGGTTTGCCACGTGCAGAACCTGCCTAGATCCACCTGCATCCTTGGGCCGGAGCCTCTGTGAAACACCACAACCATGACTAAATCTATGTACGTTTCTAGCTGAAAATGCTTTAAAGTCTAATCGGATCCACCTGCATCCTCGGACGGGAGCCTCTGTGAAACACCACAACCATGACTAAATCTATGCACGTTTCTAGCTGAAAATGCTTTAAAAACTAATCATAACTATAACCACTTTTAGCAGTCTAGCTCTTGCGTAGCACCACGCAAAACCCAACTACAGCTACAGGGGACAAGCAGGGGAGTGACTGGCTCTGCTTGGTTTGATACGTGCCTGTGGTAGAGGTTCTTCTTTCCAGAGATTCCTGGCGCTGTTGCTGTTGCTCCATCACTTGTCTAAAACAGCAATGAAAAAACCTACGGTCAATTATGTATTCTTCGCATTTTTGAGTAAAAGCTTTATGCACTGAGAAGCCCTGGAGCTGTGTGTCTCGGGTGGTTTGAGCCAGTCCCTCAGAAAAATGCTGTCCCCGTGGGATGGAGATGGGTTGGATTTCACTTGCCCTGGCCTCAGCGGTGCCATTGCACGTGTTGGGGAAGAGTAAAGAGGACACTGCCCTGCACCTGCAGGTCACTGCAGGGTCGGATTGATCCATTTAAGATAACTCCTCAAGGGGCTCTGCAGGAGGAACAGTCAGTGCCCCAGGTCCAGGAGAGCACAGCAACCACGCGTGTGGTCAACCTGGAGCAGATGAGCATTGCCAGGGAAGAGTAAGGGGTGTCTTGCATAAAATAATACAGTCCTGAGTCCTTTATGGCTCAGGAGCCCAGAGGACTTGTAGTTAAAATAAAAATATAAGGAAGCTTGATCTGCGTTTAGGTACTGACTGTACAAAAAACATTTTGCCCTGATGCCCCAGCACAGCCATCCCTGTGCCGGCCAGCGTGGCCACGGGGACCACGACCTCCGTGTTTCCTCCACAAATGTGAGTCTCAACATCACACTGCTGCTTTTCTGGCACCTTTCCCCCCAGGAGCTGCTGGCTCCCCTGCTACCCAGGCCTGGTGTCCCACAGGGAAATGCACTGCCAAGCCTTTTTCCAGCGTTTGCTCTCCAGAGCTGTGCAGTTCCTGGGGCCCATCAGCAGAGGTCTTCTCTAGCTCGCTTTAGCACTTCTGCTGAAAGAGCTGTCACTGACTCCGGCCACAAACCCTTCTGGGCATTTCTCCTCTTAAAACAGCTTGAGCGCTAAAAACTAGACCATTTGCCAGGCTTTTTACCATCTACACGGATGTGGACTAAAGATTTCAACAATACTAAAACACAACTCCGAAATTACCTTACTGGAGCACGTGGTAATAAGGTTTATTATCATTTTCTTCCATGATTTCTACACCAAATTTGCCTTGAATTTGTGCCACATGTGTTTTGGCCAGTCTTAACTGCATGGAGATTTCTTTTTTTCTGTAACAACTTTACTTCATGGTCTGTACAGTAAGGAAAGCTTAACTCTAGGCAGCGCTTCTGTTTTGACTCCTTACGTAGTATTTTAGAGGGGTCACCCTGTTACATTTTCATTTGTGCTTTCCTGAGTCTGCAATTTTAAAGAATTCTATCTTCTTACATACAAATAAAAGCTTTTTTAGAAAAAAGTCCAGAAAAATACAGTTACATCATGTAAGGAAAAAAAAATAAGTCTTAATTTGCAAAACAAATTTCTGGTATTTCAATTCTAATTCAATAGATGGGACAGGAAAAATCACAATTATAACTATTTGCTGCAGAAGGATCAATCCTAAACTGTTTTTTTTTGTTTGAGACATGCAGTCCATTGAGCACTGGCAATTTCTGTAAAACCATTATAGGCAGCTGAAAAAATTATTATATGTGCAAAGGAGAAACAGTTTTGAGAACAGCCATAGTTGGCCGATTCAATTGGTTTCATTTCAGCTATGACACTTTAAACCAAATAAATACAAATCTTTACTTCAATAGATATCCTGGCTCTTACTGGATAGTTACGGGCTGACCACATATGCAACAGCATCAATTGCACTGCTAGGATTTCAATTGTAAACACATGTGCTGAGAATTTCCTGAGCATACCATCCACCTGGCATTTATTAGCAAAATTTGGTGATAAAGAACAACTTGCCACATAGATTTTCCTCATTAAACCTGGGGGAAATTCTAGTTTACCTGGAGGATAGACCTAGAAAACTCCAGCCTGATGGAGTAAGATGGGTAAGATGTTTCCAAAACATCTCTAAGTCATTAGAGCTGCTGCAGAGCAGATGCAGGTGTGGGATGGTCCCCAAAACAAGGGTCAGCCACTGCTATCTGAAGTCATCTTGGCCCACGCCAGCCCTGTCTGCCCCTGGGCAGAAGCAGTCTATACCTGCCAAGTGCACCCTCCCACATGTGCTAAAAGGAGAAGTTCTTACACTCTTAGGAAGCCAAATTTATTCTGGTGGAACTAAATAAAGCCTGAGACTGGCACAAGGCTGCTTAAGGAGTATGCAAAGTATAGTATAAGAAGGGACAAATTACACTCTGACTTAAAAATATATTCTTTTAACATTTGTGCAAAGGTCTCTAAAAAACCTTTTAAACAGACACATTTGCAGGGTAGTTACCATAACTTCATTGCCTTGCCTGCTTATAAGATGTTCAAAGAATGCTAGGCCTAAAATTAGGTCTGCTCTATGCTAAAAGAATGCATCAGCATAATTAAAGCTGAAAATCCTCTAGTGCAGATGCAGTAATATCTAAGTGCAGCTACTGGCATAGCTTATTCCAGTCCAGTGGAGCAAAAGAAGCTTTTACAGAACCATGTGCCCTGTAGCAGTCGAATAATACCTACCTAAAAGTCTCTTACTGTCTCTAAATGAAAAAAAGTTCTGATGTAGTTAAGCTGCTCACACTTTAAATGTACAGTTTAGACACCTAAATTTGAGGTCTGAGTTACATATGGTCTGATGAATCAGTGATTTCCACTGGTTAAATGTAGTTTCCCTATACTTCTCTAACGGTTTTTTTCAAGAGGGAAAGAGAGAATTCTAGAGTGCCTATTTTAGCCAGCAATCCAGGTTACAAACTAGAACGCCACCATAACAGATTAACTCACCTTCTCTGTGCTTCCATCTCATCTGGAGATGGCCCATTCTGGACCTGGCGCTGGGCAGCTGGACCTACAGAAAAAAATGAAAGAATGATATTAGGAAATTAAATGTGGCTGACTTTTTCAAAAAACATGGCCACTCAGGTTAATTGCTTCTCCATCTTACTATGAGAGAAAACCCTCAAGCATTGTCGTCTTCTCTTTGCCTTATTTTTTTTTTTTAATTATTTTTTTCATATTAGGCAAATCATTGCCTCCGATAAATTTTTAGCCCCAGTGGGAGAATCCAGTGGCTAAATGTGTGAGCAGATTTGCCCAGAAACTTGGCATCCTGATAGCTGTAGACTACACACTAATCCCTTGACGACTGTGAAGACTCATAGTGTTGCAAAAGATGTCTTGTGGAAGGACAATTCATTGCACTGGGATGCATTTCCAACTTCTACTCTCCCTGGATTACTCTGTGCTTGCACAGGAATTCAACCACAGTGCTGAGTTTGTGAGTGTAAATGCTAGCTGCTCTGATGCTGAGCATTCTGAAAATAAAAATAATTGTTGATAATATAAGCTACAGTGGTCTTCTACTCAGTGGAAGGAGGATTGTTCCATTAATTTGACAAGGTGGGTTTCAACTGGGACTAAACAGATGAGAGTTCTATTGAACACAACAGCAATTTTCCTGATAAACGGCACTGAGAAACAGACCTTATTTTTTTCATTTTTCAAATGTAAAATTTCATCCTTTTAAAAGTTATCCAACAAGAGCAAATCAGAATTAAACACTCAGAAACCCATATATGTCACTCACAAATTGTTAAAGATATTTCTCTCCATTTCCTTTCTATGTTTCTGCCAAGCAGAATGTCATCTAAAAACAAATTTAGAAAGTATGACTGTGTGAAAATAGGAAATATGGCAGAAATGCATCGCAGTCAGAATTTCCTAAGCATTGACTGATTCTTATGAAATTGTGCATATTTTTTGACATGTGTTTAAGGACTAATATTTACAGAAAGGGGACACAGCACTTTCTGAAAATCGAGCCTGTGTATTACAGGTTTGGGTATCCCCAAAATCCAGCCAGCAAGAACCACTGAGTCACAAAAGCTCTGACATTTAAAAATATCTTAGGATTGGGTATGAAATGAAGACAGTTCACTTCTTTAACGTCTCATGACTGACAACTTAATATTGTTTGTCACAGGCCTTCGGCAAACTATTTAGACAGAAATGCCACACTTTGTAAAGATCACACGAAACAGTGAACAGGCAGGGGAGAGGGTGTTTTTTTTGGAAGCAAGCCTCAGGAAAAAACTTGGCAGGTATTGGGGAAGCATGGGGCAGGAGGCTCACGTGTAAGGAGTTTAAGGTGTGACAAGGATGTGGTGGTGTTGCGTGAATGCTTGTACTGTGCATCATCACCACTGAAGTGAAAGAAGGCCAGAGCTACCCCCGAGCAGTTACAAAGGGACTTGAAACTTCTGAACAGGGTAGGAAGACAGATATGGGTCCACCCCCCACCTGTGGGATGTGACCAGCCTCCCCACAGTTAGCAGTGGCACCGGTTTGGACCCCGGCTGTGGTGTGTGGAGGTAGCACCCACCTTCTCCTGCACACACACACGTACCTGTGAGATAATGCAATAAGCTGACTTCCACGTGAAAGATCACCTTCCTCACCAGCGAGCAAAGTACACCATGGCAAGCCTTAGCCGTGCTCATGACTGCA